TTTGAAAAGAAATGGATGAAAAGTCAACAGAGGAAAAGAATCTGAAAACTTCAGATCGAAGTGCCAATTACGTCGAGTCATAGTTGACATCAGCTGATTGGTTGCATCTGAGAACTGTCAGCATCTGATGCATGCCAACTGATTCCCAACCAATGTCTCGTCAATGAAGTAATATAGTTTTAAGGTGTGCTATAATTATGGGATACAGTGCTCAATATCTGAGATAGAGCGTATGTAAATATAAATATGAAAGGGAACATGGATTTCAACACTCAGAGGCGACAGGCTGTTTCATGCTGGACGCAATAGTCGCCTGACGACTCTGTCTAACATGAAACAGTCTGTTCCTCTCAGTGTTGACTTCCACGTTCACATTTACACACACACACACACACACACATATATATATATATATATATATATTGCATGGGGACATCAATTTCTGTTTTAAGTACATTTCATTAAAGACGACAGATATGGCACAGCGATTAAGTTTTTTCTTTTATTTTTAATTGCTTTCTTACAAGTATTTTCTTTTCTGTGCATAAAGTGTGTAAAAACCGTCCGAAAGTTCAAAGTTTACATGTAAATCAAAATATTGGAAGAATTAATTATAAAAAAAAGAGCCAACACTCAACAATATCAACTATGAAGACGGCCACAATGTGCGGGCCGTGTTTGAAAGAAAAAAATAAAACAGTCCCCTCACTATAGATAGACTTATGTAAAAACTACATATTAAGTTTTAAAAAAAGCATGATAATTGCTAATAGAATAGCCGAAAGCGCTTGAATATATACAATATTTTAACAGTTTTTGCATACTTCATATCCAACAAAGGAAATAATTGTATGACGTAAAGAAGGATTCAATCAATATCTTGATGTGTGTCAACTGACACCTTTTCTTTGAACACTTTTATTGATATTGTGCGCATGCGCCTGTGTATGTCTCCGGGACTATCAAATAGTTTGGAATAGACTTTCTTTTGAAAAAATATGAAAAAGCGATCTGGCTAAGATCGAGTGGACAAAATAAGAAAATAATCAACCCGTACAATATAAATTGGCATCATACAAAATAATGGTCACCTGACGATAGCAAGTGAGTATGTCTATTAAGAACGACTGTAACAATACACGACAAGAATAATGGTTCGAATAGGTTTCATAAATCAAATTGTACATAGGGCGAGTCAAAAGATGGCACCCGATTTCTGTTATTACGTCTTCTAATTGATTGTTTACTATTTTTATTACAGTGTAAATAAAGTTAGAAACGAATGGCGTGCTTATTTAGCCATTGTTAAAGAAGGTGTTATGACAAGGTGTTTACGTAATCTAATACCAATCTTCTTCTGCTCAGATTCTACTCTGACCAATCATATATTCCCCTCTGGTATTTCCTTTTTAAATTCGCCGAAAAATAGTTCGTTTGTACTTCAAATAAAAGAAAATTGTTATACATGGTTTAAAAATAGTGAAACATGGTTTTTATTTGAACTTTTATTATAACTAAAAGAAAAAAAAATCATTTTATGAGTAAATTTTGCTTTATTTATATTATTCGGACTATTGTCCTCATCTTTGTCGCCATATTTATTACAACGTTTCTCAAGAACACATAGCACAGTGGATAAAGGCGTTAGTTAGAACCAGTGACAGCACCCAGAGAGTGTGAGTTCAATACCCGGTTAAGGCAGTGGAGAAATTGGAGAGGGGAATTAACAGGAGATAACTGATAACTGACATCCATCAAAACATGGCCCATGGAACTAGAACGGTCTAACCCAGTGAGCGAAATAAAGGGTTCAGTTCGACATTCCAACTACCTAAAGAAGGCCGGAGCGTACAACGGCCTAAATGTTGTAATAAATATGGCGACAAAGATGAGGACAATAGTCCGATTAATGTAAATAATGTACATAATACCGCATCTCAGAAATATATACAGATGTATCATCCTCTATATATAAGAATGTGTATAGAAAACAAATACTGAATTTCTTATTAAAATGCCTTTAAAACGGAAAAACAACCCGACTCAACCCCCCACTGTCGAATTTTAATGAGATTTGGCACTAGACTTGGCAGCCATTCAACACAGAATATGCTCCTAAAATGGCTGGGTAATTATGCATTGTATACAATGTATCTTGGGAGCATTCATACATACATACAAGATTAGAGGTTTCAGTATATATATATATATATATATATATAGTGTATTTAGGCAGCAATTCTTCATTTATACATGTTTCATTAAAGATAACAGACAAGGTACTGAGATTAAGCTTTTCGTTTAATTTTTCTGGTGTTTGAACAAGTGTTTTCTTTTTTGGACATATAGTGTGTAGAAACTGTCGAAATGTTTTATAATTCCGAGCGCTTTCGATTAGACTTTTAGTCCTTATCAAAGATGATTTTATTTTTGTTTTTAATTCGGTGTATGGATTGTGTTTATGTTTCTAGAGTTATAGGCATGTTTTAATTTTTCGAACACAGCACATTATGGCCCTGTTAGTAGTTAATATTAATATTATCGAGTTTTGGGTTTTTCTTTTTTGTCATTATGGCTTGCATTATTTTTCACCTTTTTTATATGTTGTTGAGGTTATTATGCTTGTATTTTCTACTAGTATGTCTCGGATGGTGTCTGGTAAGTTTGTTCGCGTGTTTAAGTGGGTTCTAATGGAGTTATGGTCGGATAGATGTAATGTAAGTCGTCTGGATAGGCATGTAGTAATGTAACCGATGTAATTATTTTTTTACGCATTCTGTGTCCGGAAAAGAAAACACAAGGCACAAATAAAAAAAAAACTTCATCGTACCACTTTGTCTGTTGTCTTTAACGATATATATATATATATATATATATATATATTTGTATATTTAGGCAGCAATTTTTCAGTAATGTATGTTTCATTAAATAATATAGATATAGACTAGTTTTGTCTATTTATCTTAAGTAAGTTTCTTTCATATTGTCTGATAAGCTTAATCAGATTATCGTTGAAAGACGAAAGGAAAACACCATATTGATACATGTTTAAATCCAGTCTAAGCTTTTGGCTTACACGAGCCATTCTCAAACATGACAATTTCAAGAAATCAAACAACACACGGATGAAACAACAATGATAGTACGCCCTTGTTGCATGAAAATTTCCAAGTAACGACTAAGTCGTATATACGAGACGCGGAAGTGAAAATCGCGTCGCAGCTCGTGACATCACACATGACCACGCCAGAGTGAAAAACGAGATGTATTAATTATGGGAAGCCGTTGCTATAAACCAATGGCTTTTGTTATAAATTATAAGCATTTGAGGATATTTATGGAGATTTCATAGTTTATTTTGTCCAGGTTAGGTTTCAACTGTCTTATGTATAAAGCTTCAAGAATTTTTAATTTTTTTTTATTGTTTTCATGTTTAAGTATAGTTTGGTTTTCAACAAGGATGCATGTTGTTTTAAATGTATAAAAATGTTAGTTATCATATATATATATATATATATATATATATATATATGCCGACCACTGCATTCTATCTCTACAATCTTTTTGTGTGCTGTGTGTGTATGTTTGTGTACACACACACACACAAAAAAAAATGATTGGAGAGATAATTAATTTCTCGTAAAAGTACATTGAGTCTCGAATAAGAAACCTCAACAAAATGCAGTGGGCGGCCGTTTCGTACATTGGAGGGGGGGTCATAAGCAATACGCATCTTCTTCCGAGAAACGAACCCCGATCGTTACGATACAGCGTAAACGTCATACCACTGAGCCACCGTGCCGAAAAGGAAAACTAGCCAAACTCAATATCTCACAACTACTTGTAATTCCGGGTTCATCCTTATCCAAGCATTCATAACCCACAAGAGTATTATGTAGAGGTTTCTTATTCTAGACTCAATGAATATATATATATATATATATATATATATATATATATATATATATATATATGTTGAAACTTGACTAATGCATGGAATAATAATGCAACACAAAATGTACTCAGAACAAAGTGTATTGAAACAAGAAAGTGTACACAATATTTACATATAGTCTTTTGTATATTCCTGGTAAGACCGTTCCTGGAGAATGTGTTGACTGAGTCGCAGTCGGGCAGAATCTCTTGATTCCCCCATCTCTTCCCGGTACCAACCATATTTATATGGTCGGTACTCCACTATGCAAATTAGGTGGATCCTACCACAACAATATATAATCCAATACTCCAAGTAAATCCCAGTAGTATAAAATATTAAAACAGATCCACAAAAAAGCACAATGTATGTATTGTTATAGAGCAAAAAACACATACTAGATTGAAAATAAAGCTTATTCCCGATATGAGGTGATGTGTGATTTTATTGTATGCATATATATATATATATATATATATATATATATATATAGTCAAACCTAGAGAGCCAGACAAACCTACCAAGGTTTCACCTAAGCGGATCGTCAGGGACAGCTGACTAGTTTTAGTTAGCTGATTACTCGTACCGGGTTTTTTTTTTCTTCGGGCTTTGGACCAGTATGCTGTACGGTTAGTTTCGACAGACATTCATATTCTTAGCTCTTTCTTTTTTAAGAAAAATTTTCCATCGATATTGATTTGATCATTAGCAAATCAAGAAACTGAAGGTTTTCTGAGACGGTGTAGATACCTATATATATATATATATATATATATATATATATATATATATATATACGCATACATATATATATTTACGTACACACATCCATTCATATATATATATATATATATATATATATATATATATATATATATATTGTCATTCGCAGACAGTACTGTTTCGATGTATCACAGCTCCTCAGTGCGACTAGACATCCGAATATTTCAGGCCCGGATTGAAACCCAACTGATCAGTCAGAGTTTCTACCCCTAAGCTATCTTCCTTCAACAGAGAGAAACAACTAAATCTAGCGTATTGTATTTACGAATGAAATATTTATATATATATATATATATATATATATATATAGTTTTAAGGTGTGCTATTATAATGGGATAAAGTGCTCAATATTAGAGATAGAGCGTATGTAATTATAAATATAAAAGTGAACATTGAAGTGAATACTCAGAGGCGACAGGTGGTTTCATGCTAGATGCAATCGTCAGGCCGATGATTGCGTCCAGCATGAAAACAGCCTGTCGCCTTTTGAGTGTTGACTTCAATATTCATTATATATATATATATATATATATATATTTATATATATATATATATATATATATATATATATATATATATATATATATGAAGAGAGAGAAAGCGAAAGAGAGGCAACTTAAGCACACCATAGTTTTATCGGGAAATACGATTCCCCTGGTAATAATGGTTTCTGTGGAAGAATAAAAGAATTGATAGACGGAATCGCGAGAAAGGTGAGTGACACCAATTGGCGAGAGCTGTCCACTTTGAAGTCATTTTTCCCAACGTTCTTCCGATCATTGAGACAACCGAGGAAGCCGTATCACCGGCAGATGCAACTGCAAAGCACATTCCACGCGATAGCACCGCATTTTCAAACGCTGGAGAATGGTCCGAGATATCACTATCCATCACATCTGGATTATCGATTCCTTCTCCATTATACGAAAAATTCCCTCAGCCCCAGTCAATGCCACTCAGTTATCGAAGAGAAATGGGAGCTGATTGAGTGGTGTTATTGATTTTATTCCACATCATTCAGGCTTCTTTCCTGATGAGATTCTGACACTTCGACATTACACATTTAGCGTACTTGTAGCTGAAGGAATTTTTTTTATCCGTTTTCGTCTATTGAACTAGTCATTGATGAAAATGCTTCTTAGATTTCTTGGTATAATTATATAATTATACACACATACGTATATATATATATATATATATATATATATATATATATATATAGATAGATATAGATATAGATATAGATAGATAGATAGATAGATACACCTAGTGAGCCAGACAAAGCTACCTAGGTTTCACCTAAACGGATCGTCAGGGATCTTAATGTTCGTGTTTTTTTTGTTTTGTTTTTTTTTCTTCCCTCCCCATTTTCGTTGAATAAATACATCCCCCCTCCACTTAGGTGTTTGTGGTTTTTTTTTTTTGGTTTTTTTTTTTTGGTCACGTGGTATGATTTTGGCTATCGCCTATAAATATATGTGTTTCTCTTTGCCTCGTTAGCTTGGCTTTCCCGGACGATCCGTTTAGGTGAAACCTAGGTAGATTTGTCTGGCTCACTAGGTGTATCTAGGTCTGCTCTACGGTTGTATTGAGCGCTTTTGTTAGTTAGTTGTTTACTCGTATCGGTTTTTTTTTCTTTGGGCTTCAGACCGGCATCTGTGCGATTTTTTGTCGGCAGAAGTTCATGTTTGTAGCTCTTTCTTTTTTTAAAACCTTTTTTTCCCTCGAGATTGATTTGATTAGCAAATCAAAAATTCGAGGGTTTTTCGAAACGAGTTTAGTTATCTATCTATCTATCTATATATATATATATCTATATATATACCCCTCCTTCCTCAATATTAAGTACTATAATAAAAAGAAATATAAAAAGATATTTTAAAATTCTCCTTTTCCTCTCTAAACCCATGTCTCTCACACCATTCCTCGCCACTTTCTATGTTAATTTATACAAGCTTAATACTGCCCGTCAAAACTGTAAATTTTAATTTCATTTTTCGTTTCACCTTTTGAAAGTGATGTCTGAAGATCCATGTAAAAATAAAAGGCTCTGGTGAAATAAATTATTACAATGAAGAATTAAACTGGTATATATATACAATACAATTTTAAAAAATCAACTCATATGGGGAATAAGCTTATTTCGAACAACGAAAAAATAAAATACTTTATTCAACCCGGTGTGGTTTTTTTTTGCTCTGTAACAATAAATACATTGCGCTTTTTTATGGATCAGTATTAATATTTTTTATCAGGGTCCACGTGGATCATATGCCATATATATATATATATATATATATATATATATATATATATATATATATATATAGATAAAAAGAAAGAGTTTGTAGTGGTTCCAACGAGAAAAAAGTATGTATATTAAAAAGAAGCGAAGAGAGGTGCCGCAAACGTTTTTGGTTGAATGTGGATTTATTTAGAAAAAAATATTATGCTTATAAGATTCAAATCCGACTGAATGTTGAGTGTTGTTTCTATATATGAGCAAGAGCAGACCAGTCTTCGCTTTGCACTCTCGATAGAGTACAAAAGCTTCTCCGCGTCCTTGTAGGCGACGAATTATTTTCCACTCTGAAACCCCTTTCTCACAGACGAGACGTCACAAGACACTCGCTGCTTTATCGCTCTCTCCACGGAGAGTCTTCAGATGAACTTTACTCCTTAATTCCACCAGTGCTAGCCTTCACAGTTAAGACCCACCATACCATGCATGTTCTAGCGAACCACCCTCGTTGCTTTCGCGTTCTCTTCGTCAAAAAATCACTACATTTTTGTGACAATACACACACACATACATACACACACGTATATATATATATATATATATATATATATATTAATGCATGTTCCATTCAATAATATAGACACGTTTTGTCTATTTTAAGTAAGTTCCTTCATATTGTCTGATAAGTTTAATAACATTATCATTGCAAGACGAAAGGAAATCACCATATTGATACATGTTTAAAACACAACTATTCTTAAACATGAAAACAATAAACAAAAGCTAAAATTCTTGAAGCTATATACATAAAACAGTTGAAACCTAACCTGAACAAAATAAACTACGAAATCTCCACAAAATATTCTTAAATGCAATATTGATAACAGAAGCCATTGGTTTATACCAACGGCTTCCCATATAATACTTCTCGTTTTCACTCTCGTGTGGTCATGTGTAACGTCACGATCTGCGAAGCGATTTTCGCTTCTGCGTCTCATATACACGAGTTTGCCGTTGCTTTGAAATTTTTCACGCAACAAAAACAGACTATTGTTTCGTCCGTGTATTGTTTGATATATTGAAATGTAATTGTTATCTTTGATAATGGCTTATTTAAGCCGAAAGTTTAGATTGGATTTAAATATGTATCAATATGGTGATTTCATTTCGTCTTTCAATATTATTGAATAATCAATATTGTTATTAAGCTCATCAGACAATATGAAAGGAACTTGCTTAAAATAAATAGACAAAACTTGCATTACTGAAAATTGCTGCCTAAACATACACAATATATATATATATATATATATATATATATATATATATATATATATATAATGAGTTATTTTGGTACAGACTTTTATCATTTAGCTTAAAAATCAGTCTGTAAATATCACCATCGATTACCAGAGAGCGACAGCTGATCTCTCCTCTGACCGAGTTTTAACAGCTCAGTGGGGTAAAAAATCGCTTGCCACATTGAATACCTCGAAAAACAAACTTGTGACATTCCACCATCGACTTTATGCCTAAGTGTACATTCCTCCCATTTGTGGATATCTGTTGTGTTGATACAACGGTATATGGGTGTACCTCCAAAAGTCTTGATGACCAGATCGTGGTAGCTGATCTTTCCTGGGACCTAGCTTAACAGTTCAGTAAAGGAAAAATAGCCACTCTTATTCAATGCTAGGGAAACAAAATTAATTACATTCTGTCATCACTATGCGTGCTTTGAATTGGCATCTGTCACGATAAACGCGTCTTCTCTCAGGAATGGTCTCTCGACTTTTCAAAGAGCCAGATCAGACCGAAAATAAAGTACTGGTGATATTTATAAGCAGGAGCTACATATTGTTTACTTTCCATTCGTCATAGGAGGGGAAAAGCGTATCCGCGTCCTTATGGGTGATGAATTATATTCCACTTTTCAACCACTTTCTCACCGACGAAACGTCGCAAGCCTTATGACGCTCTATAGCTATTTAAACGGAAAGTGTTCGAACGAGCTAGATTCCTTGTTTCCGCCATTTCTAATCTTCAAGACTAAGACCCGCCATGCCAGGCACATTGTAGCGAAGTACCCTCATTCCCTTTGATGAGATATAAGCAACATACGACCAGGCTCTTCCCACCTACTGTTGCATTGTGGCACCTACTTGAATCTCGCGATGTTCAAGTCTAGTGTCAACTCTTATCATCTTCATCAAATATCCCATAAACTGGGACATTTGGAGGTGGTGGAATGGTTAGAAAGCTTGTCTCGCTAGAACAATTACGACTGAATAGTGAGATCGATCCTCATTGGGTACCACATATTTTCGGCCTTTTGCCACATCTAAGCTACACTTAGAAAATCAGTTGGAAAATTCGACGTGGTGTAATCGTTAACGAACTTGTTTCGCTAGAACAAACGGTTAACGAACTTGTTTCGCTAGAACAACTAAATAATGAGTTCGATCCTCACTGGGTGCCCCATACTTTCGACCTTGTGCAACTTACTCTTAGAAAATCATTTGCGAACTTTGCCGTGGTACAATGGTCAGCAAGCTTGTCTCGCAAGAACGATTACGACTGAATAGTGAGTTGGATCCTCACAGTGTTCCCCATATTTTCAGCCTTGTCGCTAGTCTAATATACACTTAGAAAATCATAGGGGGCATCTCGACGTGGTGTACTGGTTACTTGTCTCTTTAGAACAGTTATGACTGAATAGTGAGTTCGGTCCTCACAGGGTGCTCCTTAATTTCGGCCATGTGACACGCTCAGAAATCACCATATTCCCATAAAATTTGCCTCTTACTTTGTAACCCTCTACCTCGAGTGGCTCTTGGGCCCCACTCACGAACAACACACACTTCTGTATATATGTTACATACATTCAAGCCACGTCGTACGTAGACAGACTAGCTGATTCTCCATCCATCACTTTATACTATACTACATCCATCTTACTATAAATTACCGGTAAATACAATGACTTCTGGGGAAAGAAATGGAGTTCTTCCGCGTTGCCTTCTCCAGCATTCTTTCTCCTAGACTGTATGCCAGCCAAGGCTAGAAAATCCAGTGTTTCTTACTATTTAATCCACAGGTGGTGCCAGAAAAATATGTGTTTATTCTTTTTCTAACACATTTGTGTAAAAGTGAATGCATACGGCGAGCTTGGAATTAGAACTCTGTTTCTGGTTTTATGTTTCACTAGCAGCATAACCCGGCGTTGCCCGTGCTTGATTCAAAAATCGTACAACTCATACAGCAATCGCTATCACTTGATTTAAAATATTTTTGCCTTCCTTGCCTTTAAAGGAGTGCCCTTTACCGTGCTGATGTTGCTACATACCTTACTTCTTGCCTATCTCACATTGCGAATTTTTTCTAAGCTCTATACTAAACATTACATCTGTTACGAAAAAAGAACTAAACAAAATAAATACAAAACAATCAGCTTTAAAAAAGGAATCGTAACTGGAAAAACCAAATGAAAAAAGAATGTTAACAACAAATACTTTTTCACACCCAACCAAGTTCTGCGGAATCAAAATCAACGTTGAGTTTAAGCAAGCGAATGAGCCAATTGGAGTAAAGTGCCATGCAGATTTAATTTTTTCCCACTTGTGACGACTGCAGCTATCGATGTTTTTTG